CAGCCGCCGGGGCCCAGCAGCCTGGGGAGGAGCCGGCGGAGGAGGCGCCCCCTGGCCAGACGCACGTCCACACGCTGTACATGGGGAACCTGAACCCCAGGTACTCGCGGGAGGTGCTCTGCAGCATGCTGAAGGACATCCTGGGCACCGCCAGCTTCCCCCTGCAGCGGCACCACATCGAAGTGGTGAAGAAAGCGAGACGGGCCTACGCCTTGGTGCAGGTGGCCACCGAGCTGAGCCTGGAGCACGTCCTGAAGCAGCTCCAGGTGGCCTCGGACACAGAGCAACAGCTACTCCGGGAGCTAGTGATGAAAGGGAAAACGCTGGTGGTGGGAGAGGGCAAGAGAGCCTCGCTCGGCACAAAGGAGGGCCAAGAGGTAGGCCCGGGCATGGGCTCGGGACAGGCAGCCGCCCAGCAGCCGGTGGGGCACAGGCCCAGTGGGGTGGGCTGGACAGGGTGCAGCTTGGTACCGAGCTCACCAGGGCAGGACCAGGGCAGCTCCCCATCGCCCAGAGGAGCTAAACCCGGCAGCACGTCCAGCCGGATGCGCCTGACTCCCTCCAGGGGATGAGCTGCCTGGTCCCAGTGGCCGGCAGTCGTGGGAGCTGCTCCCCTCGGGGCTTGCCCAGATGGCACGGCCTGCAGGGTGCCTGGGCCCCACAGCTTGCACTGCAGTGATGCCACCTTCTGGCCTTAGCCCTGGAGTGGGGCAGAGCTTCCCCCCCACAGTGGGTCCCAGAGTGGCCACGCCGGGGGTCCTAAGGCTTCACCGCTCTGCTCACAGGCTGGGGGCCGCCTAAGCCCACGGAACGCTCCTGCTAGAGCCCCTGGCAGAGAGCAGGGGTGTCTGCTCCAGCCTGTGCTTGGTCCCCGAACGGTCCAGTCTGTTCGCTGGGCAGGCCCAGGTCCGGGGCAAGGGGAGGAGCCTTTGGCCACGTGGAGCAGGTGGGAAGGAACGAGGCCAGTGGCTCTCACGGCCCAGGGACTGGCAGGGGCCCGCGCCTTAGAAAGTGGCAGGCAGGGAGCTACGCACGGCCCAGCTGACACCCGGGGATCCCCCTTGACTTCAGGGCAGAACTGGGTAGATTTTAAGGGTGGCGGGTCCCACTGCTCACGCAGCCTCAGTCCAGCAGGGCCCAGGCCAGAGCATTCCTGGGCTCCAGAGATTTTTCTGAGATTCCAGCTCGGGGCGCTCGATCGCCTGCCGAAAAGAGCTGTTGAGCTCCCCCAGGGCCGGATCCTGGCAGAGCCCTTCCCTCTCCACCCTCAGCACCAGTTCCAAGGGGTCTGCCCAGGCGAAACGTGGAGGGAAGCAAGGGGCGCCGTGGTGGCTGCACGAGAAGGCAGGGATGCCAGCGTCCCAGCCTTGGGCGGCTCTGACAGGAGCAGATGCAGCAGAAAGGGCAGCGCTGCTGGGGGGGCTCCCAGGGCTGCCACGGTCACTTGCTGCAGCATTAAATAAAAGGGCCCGTGGGCGTTACAGCCTGCACAGGGGGAAGGCCCTTGAGCCGCTGTTAGAACCCTCCCCCCGGCCCCCGTGACCTTTCATCTTTCTGGCTCTGCAGAGTGACACTGAGGGGACCGGTGCCAGCGCCCCAGGGCCCCCTGGGCTGGGGCACCCCCAGCCTGGCAGGAGCCGGCCGCGGGGGGCCGAGGACGCCGGAAGACACCCCCTCAAGCCCGCAGGCTGGTGGAGAGGCCGGCCGCGTTTCTCAGCGGCACCCGCTCTGACAGCGCCATTGTCCGGCAGGAGATCGTGGGCCAGGAGCGCTTGTTCTACGGCGCCTTCATGGGGAGCGAGACCCGGAACGTGGAATTCAAGCGGGGCGGGGGCGAGTACCTGAGCGTGACCCTCAAGCACCACGTCCGCAAGTACCGAAGGGGGCAGCCTCTTTGTGGGGGTGGAGGACAGCGGCATGGTGCAGGGGGTGAGGTGTGGGCACCGCGAGGAGGACCGCATCCGCTTGCTCATTGACTCCATTCTGAAAGGCTTCAAGCCCCAGGTGTTCCCGGACGCCTACACCCTCACCTTCATCCCGGTGCTCAAAGCCGAGGACACCGGCATCTTCCTGAAGGTGATCCGGCTCAGCGTCCACCCGCCCAGGCAGCAAGGGGAGCTGCTGCTCTACGAGACGGACCAGGGGGAGGTTTACCTGCGGCGGGACGGCAGCATCCAAGGGCCGCTCTCCGGGAGCGCCATCCAGGAGTGGTGCAGGCAGGTAAGGCACGCCAGCGCCACCAGGTGCAAGATGCGGCCGAGCTGCAAGCCAGGGCGCGATTGCACCAGCCCGGAGGGGAAATTCTCTGGGCAGAGGCTGATTTTCACCCTCTGCGGCTCTGCTCTTGCAGACAGTTTGGTGCCCAGCCCTTTATCTCTAGCTGGCACCCGCGAGTCTCTCCTCACTTGCTCTCTGGCGGGAGGCCTGGCCCTGTGGCTGGAAAATCCTCCCCAAAGGCGCCTCCCACTCGGAGGTGGTCAATGATTCGTCTTCACGTGGCAACACTGCCCAGGGCAGCGCTCTAGTTCGGGGCCATTAACTGCGAGTGGCTCCATGACTAGGCGCTTGGGGGCTGTCGCATCGGTAATTCAACCCGTAAAACGTAAGCCCCGAGCTAGTCTAGGCTTTGCTTTTCCCCGGGCCAGATGCCCTCCTCCTCCCCCCCCCCTCGCAGGGAAAAGGGGCAGATTGGCCAAGGCCCAGGGTTGGATTTTGGGGCAGGTTGGGGTTGGTTGCCTGTAACTTTATGGTGAAGGCTCAGGCGAGGTTCCAGAGAGGAAAGTGCTGCTCTGCCTCAGCCCCAGCCCACAAAGGGCCCGAGTAGCTAAGGCCAGGCCAGGCCAAGAGCTAGCATACGCCTGGTCAGTGTACGTAACAAAAGGGGCAGATTGGCCAAGGCCCAGGGTTGGATTTTGGGGCAGGTTGGGGTTGGTTGCCTGTAACTTTATGGTGAAGGCTCAGGCGAGGTTCCAGAGAGGAAAGTGCTGCTCTGCCTCAGCCCCAGCCCACAAAGGGCCCGAGTAGCTAAGGCCAGGCCAGGCCAAGAGCTAGCATACGCCTGGTCAGTGTACGTAACGTCCCGGGGAACTGCTGGGCTCGGCTCACCGCTCTGGCTAGGAGCAGCACCGCTGAAGGTTAGGGCTGGGGTTACGGCCTGGCCTACGGCTGGGTTTGGCAGCAGGGTTACTGCCTGGTCGGTCCAGCTGGAGGGTTAGCTCAGGGCTGAGGAAGCAGGACTGCTTGGGTAGCTGTTGGTTTAGGGGTAACGTCGGGATCAGGTGAAGTTTAGCAGTGGCAATGCCCGTCCCCCTCCACGTAGGATTAGCATGAGGGGTGTATTTTAAAGTCAGTTCATTTAGGCTTGAATTAACGAGAGTCACTGGGGCTACGGCTACACTGGCAGGATTTTCCAGAAACGCCTTTAACAGAAAAGTTTCCGTTAAAAGCATTTTCGGAAAAGTCCCGATCGCCATTTTCGCTCGGGGCTGTTTTGCGGAAAAGAAATCTCTGCTGTCTACACTGGCCCTTTTGTGCAAAAGTTTTTCGGAAAAAGACTTTTGCCCGAACGGGAGCAGCAGAGTATTTCCGCAAAATCACTGACAATCCTACATGAGAGCGTCGGTGCTTTTGCGGAAATTCAAGCGGCCAGTGCAGACAGCTGGCCAGTTTTTCTGCAAAAGATGATTTTGTGGAAAAACTTGCCAGTCTAGACACAGCCTGGCAACACAGGCTGCTACTGCAGTGCAAATCCCGTCCAGAGCAGCAGCCTCCTTCAAGAGCCGGCTTTTGTGTGGGCTCCCTCCTCAGGCTAGACCAGCGCGGTAGCTAGCTGCTATCACACATGCCCACCAGGAAACACTGAGCTGCTGCCAGCGGTCAGTCCCGGTGACGGTGCTGTTGTACCCCCAGAAATGGACAGGAGAAGTGCGGAAGCTGGAGGAGCGTCTGGAAGTGCTGAGGAAGGAGAAGGACAGCCTGCAGCAACAGCTCAACCAGCAGCTCCGGACTCCCAAGTCTCGGATCTGCACCGTGCTGTGAGCGGCCGCGGCGCCGGGGAAGCCAGTAAGGCACCGCGCTCAGGTCACGGAGATGTGGATGGAGCTTGAAAGTAAATTCCGCCCTGGAGCGAGCTCTGGCCTGGGGTAAGGGCTGCCTTGCCACTCTCGGCCACGGAGGGAGGGAGTCTGGTCGCCGCGCTGGCGGGAGGCGCTTTGCGCCGTTCAGGAGCTTGTGCAGCACTGACCCCTGCACCACCACTTGCCTGGTGAGCTCAGGTGGAGAAAGGCCCACCCCAGGGCAGAAGCGCTTTCAGCCGGGCTCTCTAAGGCCGCCGCGAGGGAGTGCTGCAGCCCCAGAGGCAGCAAGCTGGCCCAAGCGAGCTTTGCCCCCCAACAGGCATCAGCCCTCAGTACCCCTTAGCCAACGGCTGCCTTGCAGGGCTCCAGCAACCACCTTCTGGCCCAGCTGGCTGTTTCCGAAGGGAGGGGGCAAACGGGGTGTCCCCGTGGAGCAGAGCTGGGCTGGGACCAGCCCCATTCAACAGTCATAGACTAAGGTCAGAAGGGACCATTATGATCATCTAGTCTGACCCCCTGCACAGTGCAGGCCACAGAATCTCACCCACCCCTCCTAGGATAATCCTCTTACCTGTATCTCAGATATTGAAGCCTTCAAATAGTTTGAAGACCCCAAGATGCAGAGAATCCTCCAGCTGTGATCTGTACCCCATGCTACAGAGGAAGGCGAAAAACCTCCAGGGCCTCTGCCAATCTACCCTGGAGGAAAATTCCTTCCTGACCCCTTTCCCACATTCAGAAATGAACAGGGAAAGGGGTGAACAGTGAAGTGGCAACATCTGTGAACACACCCCACGACTCCGGCGCCTTACAGCCCGTGTGTACACACCCCTCGACTCCAGCACGTCAAACGTACACAAATCCATGGGGCCGGACTTAATGCATCCGAGGGTACTGAGGGAGTTGGCAAATGTCATTGAGGAGCCCTTGGCCATTATCTTTGAAAAGTCATGGAAATCGGGAGAAGTCCTGGATGATTGGAAAAAGGCAAATGTAGTGCCCATCTTCAAAAAAGGGAAGGAGGACGATCCAGGGAACTATAGGCCGGTCAGTCTTACCTCGGTTCCTGGAAAAATCATGGAAGGGATCCTTAAGGAATCCATATTGAGGCACTTGGATGAGAGGAAAGTGATCAGGAATAGTCAGCATGGATTCACAAAGGGCAAGTTGTGCCTGACCAATCTGATCAGCTTCTATGATGAGGTAACTGGCTCTGTGGACATGGGAAAGTAAGTGGATGTGATATACCCTGACTTTAGCAAGGCTTTTGATACAGTCTCCCACAATATTCTTGCCAGCAAGTTAAGGGAGTATGGATTGGATAAATGGACAGTAAGAAAGATGGCTAGAAGGCCGGGCCCAGAGGGTAGTGATCAAACGGTTCGATGTCAGGTTGGCGGTCGGTTTCTAGCGGAGTGCCCCAACGTTCAGTTCTAGGACCAGTTTTGTTCAATATCTTTACCTGGATGAGGGGATGGATTGCACCCTCAGCAAGTTTGCGGATGACACTAAGCTGGGGGGAGAGGTAGATACGCTGGAGGGCAGAGATAGGGTCCAGAGTGACACAGACAAATTGGAGGATTGGGCCACAAGAAATCTGATGAGGTTCAACAAGGACAAGTGCCGAGTCCTGCACTTGGGACGGAAGAATCCCAAGCATTGGCCCAGGCTGGGGACCAACCAGCTAAGTAGTAGTTCTGCAGAAAAGGACCTGGGGGTTACAGTGGATGAGAAGCTGGATATGAGTCAACAGGGGCCCTTGTAGCCAAGAAGGCTAATGGCATATTAGGTTGCATTAAGAGATCTGCATCTCAGCAGATCCAGAGATGTCATTATTCCCCTTTATTCGGCTTTGGTGAGACCACATCTGGAGTATTGTGTCCAGTTCTGGACCCCCCACTACAGAACGGTCATGGACGCATTGGAGAGGGTCCAGCGGAGGGCAACCAAAATGATTAGGGGGCTGGAGCACATGACCTACGAGGAGAGGCTGAGGGAGTTGGGTCTGTTTAGTCTGCAGAAGCGAAGAGTGAGCACTCTCTGTGCTGAGTGAGCAAAAAGCCACTAGACCGGGGTGGAGCACTAAGGGACTGCGAGTAAGACAGGAGGCAGCAGTGGCCTCTGTAAATCCACACCCACCCCCCAGCTCGACCCTCCCATGCAGCGTCGTCACCGCCATCATCTCGCATTGGAAAAGGTGCTTAAATGGCAATAAAATTATTAGGAGTCTGCACCCCCCTTTGTATGAGGCAGCAGTTGGGGGGGTTAAAAGACATCTCCCTGTGAGCCCAGGCTCCTGCCCCGCCCCCCGCTCAGCATCGGAGGCAGGAGCGTAGGGAGAACGGGACTTGTGTGTAACTGAGTTAACCAATGAGTCCAGGCCCCCCCCGCACCGGCTCCCCGGGCCCCCCCGGCTTGGTGACCTGGGCGCATCGAGCTGAAGACCCGCACTCGGGACGCCAAAAAAGCACTTTTGGGAAATGTGTAACCGATGACAATTTCAGCCGTTACATTGGGGGGGGGGGGGGGGTGGCGCGGCTTTTAATCAGGCTCTGCAAGAGCACTGGCTCTGCCCTCTCCCCCACTGAGGGACCCTGGCCGTTACTGGGGTCTCATCGGTTCAGCGTGCGTGCTCAGAGACGTAGTCCTGCACTGCGGCAGATCCGTACATGCAGCATCCAGAGAGTCTTGCTCACTGCACAGTGGAGGCTGGGCTAGAGAGAAAGCTGCACTCATCTCCACCATGGGCTGCTGCGGTCCTTGTCTCCGCAATCTCAAAGAAACAGGGGAGGCGCTGAGGTCCTAGCCATTTGTGACCCACAGTTGAATTTGTCAGCCACTGCAACAAAAGCCTTTTTCAGCCGGAAAATGGCCCAATTAGAACAGGAGCTCACGCTGGAGAGCGTGTCACTGGAGAGTAAGGATCTGTGGCTCGAGAACCCCTCTGGGACAGGCGTAATGGCGCTCACAGCCTTGCAGGGGACTTTTCCGAGAAGGGCCATTTGGGAGCAAAGCACAGGGGCTGCGCCGGGGGGAGGAGCCAGAGCAGAGGGAATGCGGAGTCAGCCCCCGAAAGGGTTAATCAGGCGAGACCAGGCACAGCTTTGCCCAAACTTTAATGAACTGAAGCGGGTTTAGGCCCATATGACACTTAATACAAGAGAAATGTCCGTCTTGCTCCAGGCTCACTATTGCTCAGAGCATGGCAAAAAGGCAGAACACAAGGAATCCCCACGTTCTGCCGCCCAGGCTCGTCACGGTGCCACTGTCAGACGTGGCCAGTGCGCTGAACCCAGCCAGTAGGACAAGGGCACTTTCTGCGCCACTCGGGAAGGTGCACGAGGCAAAGGCAGCAAGGGACCGTTCCCCTTTAGTCACTAAAAGGCAGCGCCTGGGATGTCTCGGCCCGAGCGCCAGGGCAGCGTCTGAAAACACGTCATTGTGTGTTCACTGGCCCGCCCCTTGATGCAAGGGGTTACCGGCGCCCAGCCCCAGACGCCGCACCCAACAATGCTGGCCTCAAAGGGCTGAGCGCTGCGCCTCCTTCAGGCAACAATGGAGCTTCCTGGCCTTGTGGCTTTTTTACATGATCTCAAGGTAATTACGTCCCTACGGAGCGACATGGCCCAGTTCGATCAGAGCTGGTCACGTCCATGAACACACGGACTCCGCTGCTCCAGGAGTCAGATTTTCCTGGTCGCAAGTTAATTGCTGGCACTGAGAGCACAGAAGCCACCAGTGCCACAGAACTGTGAAGAGCGGGT